CATAGTCTCAATAACCAAGCCGGCACACTTTCTCTAGGCTTCTGCCGAAATCACTGTACTAAGTCCATCAATTCTGTTGCCATGTATGGCCGAGCCATTAGGTGTAAATGAGTCTGGGCAGGGGGCCATTGATCAGGCAGCACCCCTGCCAGTCTGTCCTGTACTTTTTTTGTTTTCTGGGTTATGACAGGACGGACTTCCAGTGGATCAGTCAGAATTGGACATTCAAGGTCTGATTTGGATTTCTTGTTCTCCTGATCAACGAAGGCTGTTGATTCAGGAGTCTGGTCATCATTTATTGAAACGTTACGAATTTGGCCTACGGGAATATGTAGAATTGGCTTCTTCCCTGTTAAAACGCCAAGTTCGTGCTCCAGCTTTTCAATGAGGTCTTTCAAAAGCTGATTTTCAGTTTCTAAAGTATTATTTCTTATATCCGCATGATTTAAGGCACTTAATAATGGCCATGCCACCATGGAGGCAGCCAGTTGTCTTTCTTTAGTAATGAGGACATCCTTGCCAAGTCCTTGAAAATAGTCCGCCATGCGATATGGGGAGATATTGCCCATAACGCGTAAGGGACCCCATTTTTCAATGATAGCAGCTAACTCATAATAGGGTGATCCCTCAAATCCTGGGATCTACCCTGGAATCATTTTCTCTAGAGGAGTATTGTTCTCCCCCTTGACTCATTTATAGAAATTCCAAAGAAAAGACATGAAGTTAATTTTAGTATATTCGGCCTGCCTGGCTCGCCAAGTGTATAATCAATAGATATCAAGATGTTATAATCACAATATTATCAAGAGAGTTAGGCAAAGTAGACAACGATAACAAAAAGGCAATAAGTGGAAGAGCTTACCCTTCGGCTGGGCTCACCACAAAACACCAAGAGAGGTGATCTCCAGAAGAGATCCTTCCCCTCTGGTAGCCAGCTCTTAAATAGGTGAATTGCCTTCACCTGTGCTCCTCTGGCTGACTCATGGCTCGCCTCAGGTGATCAATCGGAGGTTCAGGCTGTGACTCAGCAGTTCCCATACATTCCCTTAGAGTTCATTATTTACAGAGCTCTGGGATTTGTTGGGTTTTCTTAGGAACAAATCTGAACTCTGGGAAAGCAGTGTTTTCCTGTGAAATACCCTGGTTTGAATCACAGCTGTCACTGGAAGTAAACTAAAAGAAAAGTTAGCCCAGAAATCCAGATTGTTTTTAATTGTTGCTTTTAATAAAGATGATCTTACAGCCAGTGCCGTGAATCTTTTTAACTGGACTTTGAAATACTCCTGAACGTGAATTCTTTCTTTTTGTCACTGGTTTTGTAGCATGCCATTGTTACACTTGCCTTGGTATCATTCTGGGTTTTATGAATGTCTCCCATTTCTGAATTCGTACTTTTCATTGGGGAAATCCCCTCCCACCCTTTCCTTAGGTTTTCATTATTTGGTGCACTTACTCAAGTGAAAGTACCTGATGATTTCTGCCAAGATTTTTCTCTCTGTCCCTTGAGAACTTTCAGCTGGGAGACAGAATTATACAAAACTCCCAAAGTGATGCAAATTTTTCCTCATACAGTAAGTCATTTTCTGTAGTGTCTTTCCTATATTGTTGTAACTCATTGATTTTCAGTGACCAAACTTTTCTTATGCAAAATCTTTTTCAGGAGCAATAAGGAGATGTTTGAATTGCTTCAACTCCATGAACTGATTGAAGATCTTCAGAAAACGACAGACCCAGTTAACTCTGCCATCTGTGCCAACCTACATTCCATTCTGTCAAATCTAGGAGCAGAGCAGCACTTGTGCTGCCCCTGCAGACACAGCTCACTAGCAGCTTCTGCCAAGCCAACTCTTGACCCTACCCTAGATTTTTCCCTATCCTGTCCCTGTCTCTGCCTGTCCCTCTCCTGTGCCCTTCCGTCCCCTGTCCCTGTGCTGTCCCTGCTCCAGGCCGCTGACAGAATCTCCTGGCAGCCTACCACAAAGTTGAAAGGAAATTGTAAGACAGAAGAACAGGAGTGTGATGAATGAGAGGGGAGGACAAAGAGGGCAGAACTGAAGAAAGGATACAGGTAAGAGGAGCAGAGCCGATGGGGGAGGGGAAAGAAGGAGATGGCAGGGCAGAATGGACAAGAGGGAAGAGCAGAAAGGCAGTGAAAATAGGATTTCTTCAAAAGAATTGTTTACAGCTTTCTTAAGAGACAGGATTTCTCATGATAAGATTGATGGTTTTCCACTTCCTGAATTACAGAGAACACATAAACACAGAAGGTTAAATAAACCCTAGCAGGAAGGTGCCAAATTCTAAAGCAAAAGACCAGGGAACAATTCCACCTACTGCACTCAATGGGACGTCTTACCTATTTCCAGAGCACCCGATGCGAGTGGTTTGGCTGTTGTGAGGGAGAAGGATTGGGAACCATATTCCAATTTGTATCCCTGGGAGGAGATATTTTGGAAAAACTGGTCCTCACAGTTTTTCCAAAAAAACTGCAGAGCCTCAAATGACCCCAGAGCAGAGGCCTCCTTAATATATGGGAACCCCGAGAAATCTGAAGGACAACCAGTAATAGGGTTGGGAGGGAAACAAATGCAACCTGTGAAACACAAATAGAAATGAAAACAGGAAACCTCTCAAAGTAACTGTATCCTGTCACAATTGTCCCTGTCCCAGAAAACATCATAGGGATAGGTATTCCAAAAGGACTCACCTTGAATCTTTGCAGCAGTCCGCACCAATTTGGAATAAAGAATTGCATTAGTGGTCCGACAATTTTAGTGGGAAAAGTAAAAATGCCTGCTGTGCAGATTCCTTCTGCAACTGAAGTAGTGACAATGAAACAATATAGGACCCTGGGGGGGGGCATGAAGAGATATCCAGGACAATTAATGATTTATTGGATGCAGGAGTTTTAAGTCAACTACTACAGCTTGGAACAATCCAATATGACCTGTCAAAAAGTGATGGGTCGTGGAGGGAATTAAATAAGCACACCCCACCTCTCACAGCGGCTGTAGCAGGTAACCATTGCTTTAAGATAAGAAGTTCAGAAACATTCCAGAAGTGGGTGTGCTGTAATTCATTTAGCTAGTGCATTTTCCACTATCCCAACTGCAGAGGAACATGGCAGAGGTGACAAGATACTTTCTGTAGATTGCCTCAGGGATGACTGCACAGTCCAACCATTTGCCACAGAACAGTGGCTGAACATCTGCATGATTATAAATTCCCTCCTCACATGCAAATAGTCCATTATACAGATTATATGTTATATCTTTGTGCACATAGGATCCCCGAGACACAAACTCCTGAACGCGTCTAGGACTAGGAGTGGATCCAGCTGTGCTGAGGAACCTTACCTCTGTGGTTTGAAGAGTTCACACAGCAATGGGCTTGGCTCTGATCCTCATGACACAGCAGGAGAGCATCCTCTAGGTGTGTGTGTAACCTTGCCCTCTATGTGGAAAATAACCAAGTGCATCCAGCCATCTCCAGTCTTGTTAAGTCACTGTTATATCTACTACAGCATATCTATGCTCATCAACAAATACGTTCCTGCTTCCCCCTTAGAAGTATATATTGTAGCTGTATCTGTTATAAATTGGTGAAGTCCGCATGATAGCAACTAGGGACACTAACTATTACAAGATTCATGGAGTGAAAGCCACTCCCAAATTCTTATATAAATGGGCTCACGACACTGAGAGCCCATTATAATTGAGAAACAAGGGACCATCAGGAGCCATCAAGGATGAAAGGGAAAAAAGGTATTATCTGTTACATACGAAGTAAGGCAGAATGTAAATAAATGGAACAGGGAGCAGAAACAACAGCAAAGATTTTATTTTCATTATTATTTTTTTTAATAACCTACAGAAATTGATTTTGCTTGGGTTTGCGTCAGGCACTCAGAACTATGCCACACGGTATGCAAAGGGGTGGATATGGAAATGAATTGTATTGTGTAGCTACAAATCTGGGAGTCTCTACTTTTAGCGAGGAATCAGAATCACCACACATTTGAAGCCCAGAATCATCACAGAATCAAAGAATCTAGAACTGGGAAACAATCACAGGATCTGAAATAACAGAACTTGTACTCACAGGAGCTAGTGTCCTCGTAGCATCCTCATACAATCCTCAGACTCTAGAATCCTAGACTCCAGTAACCCCATAATAACCCCACACATTTTGTTTCCTCACTCCCACAAAAGGAAGCTTTCTGTAGAGCATGCTCACAACTGATGCTATCAGTCAGCATCACCCAGCTTTATTCTAGTTAACTAGAATATCAAAGCACTGCCAGCTACAAGTGCTCAGAGGTTCTTTCTCAAAAGATGAATCTTAATACTGTTTTTCATTCTAATTTGGATTTGGGCAGGAAACTGAGGTCCAGAATCTTTATGAAAGCAATCCCACTGTGCTCTTCACAAAACCACTCCCCTAAGACTGAGCACAGGGGCACAGCCGATGGCAGCATCAGCTCAAGGGGACACAGCACTGGAAACGCAGTGACAGTGAGAACGCCATCAGCGACAACCACAACCCCCAAGTCCATCGGACACGGTGCTGGAGGTCAGTGACAGCAACACTGCAACGACGACGCCAGGAGCTCCCTGTGGCTGCCAACACCACTCCGCTGGCGTTCCCCTCTCACAGCTCCCCGCGGATGTCAGGCAGCAGGTGGCAGCGGTGATGGTGGCCACGGCGGCAGACACGGCGCGCAGGTCACGGCGCATCAGGCACAGGCAGCGCGTGGTAGCAACTGCCCCAGCTCGGGCTCAGCCCAGAGGCCCCCCCAGGCCTTCCAGCAGCTGCGCAGCTGCACTGAAACCACGTCCCAGCACCTCAGCCATCGCGCCCCACAGCCACCCCTCGCCCATCCCCAGCCACTGCTGCAGCAGTGAGGGGCCCCCCAGGGACACCCCTGGCAGCGGCACTTGGGCCGCACTATCCTCCTCCACCTCCTCGGTCTCCGACGCCTCCCCCCGGAACCCTCAGCCCCGCTGTGGGGTTCCCGGCCGCGCTCCCCCCCGGCTCCGACTCTGAGTCATCTCCGAGGCCTCGCCCCGCACCAGCGTGAGGTAAAGAGGAGAGGCCACGGTCTGCGAGAGGGGAACAAAAGGGAGGAGGTGGAATTCGGGGGAAGAACGGCCCCATCAGGCACGGAGACCGCTGCCCCTTCTCCCAAGTCCCAGGGGAATACCCCGCAAAACAGGTCCGTGACCCCCCGGCCCCCGTGCCTTCTCCACCCCCTTCCCAGCCCCACGGAGCCCCCAGAACACGTCCTGCACCCGCAGCTCCAGCAGGACGCCTTGGATTCCCTTCCTGGCCCTGCGTGACTCCCGCGCCCCAATAACGCGCCAGACCCACCGCCCAGCCCTGCGAGGACCTGTGTTTCCTCAGCCCCGTACAGCCGGCTCCCCTCGTCACGTGACGCACACCCTAGCTGCTGTCCGTCGCACCGGGTGGCGTCACGCCTCCGCACGCCTGTTACCCCGACTCACCTCACTCGGACCGCGCACGCGCGGAGCAGACACCCCCCACGTAACCTCTTTCGCCTAATTGCCCCTCCGCCCAAGCTTTAAGTGACGGCCAGGGCAGCCAATTGGCTCCGCAGAGGCGAAGGGGCGGGCGGGCCTCTCCCGGAAGAAGGGTCGGAGGCGGGGCATGCTTATAACAGGCGGCGGCGGCAGCCAACGAAATGACGGAATAGGCAGGTATGGCCAACAGGAAAGGCAGGAGGCGGATCGTGCAGGAGGCCGTGCGGGGCCACCACCACAGCTTGCTAAAGCAAAGCTTCATTCTGATATTGCCCTTGGTGACCTGTAACCTTAACACGCTAAAGGAGAAGCAGCACAGTCTTGTACTGCCTTAGGCCAAGCTTTCAATATTTATTATCAACAGCAAGATACAGCACAAGGTCCCAACTGAAACATGCAGCTTCATTTACGACTTAGCACCCAACTTGGCTCTTTTTGAACGCCTTGGCAACAAGCTGAGCTGCAAAAGGCATGCTGGGTGGGCTGCAAGAGCTGCAGAGCAACTCACTGTCAGTGACCAACATTTCCTTCACAAGACTTCCTCCCTAATGAAGACTACTGATTATACAAAGGTAAAAACACGACCACCGTGAGACAAAACCCAGATCGAGAAGAACAAGTCAGCTGGCTGCATGCTTCCCAAACACTGCACTGCCATCACAACTAAATGGGAACTGAGAATCCAGACATTATTGTAACAAAAAAGTACAGAGATCTAGTGAGCTTCTGGATCTCACCAGTTTCTCTGAAAACAGAGTGGTGGAAGTGAGTAATACAAGTCCATATGTAAAACGTGTCTATGTAATTAAAGTATGTAATGCATGTTTCCTAAAGCACTATAAACTCGCTGAAGTGCCAAGTCCTGCCTACTGTAGGCAAATCAGGAACAAAACAACCACAGAAAAATTAGTTATGCAACACCATATTATAATTGCTATTTCTCAGAAAGCCTCTTGCAGGTGATCAGAGTTTATTAGCTCAGTGCCTAAGGAAGTTTCTTTATAAAATTCCTGCTTACCTGTCCTGCTATAAACTCTGACCACAGATCAGTTTAACAGACTACAAGTGTATCACGCCGCCTTACATACAAATGAAGATAAAGTGTTTCAGAAGAGAGCACTCCCTGGAGCAAGCAAAATGTTATCTATGCCAGCCTTGTGAAGGACACTGAAGTTACAAAGGGTTTTTCCCTCCTAATGTCACGTCACATTTAACTGTTGTACACCATTTTCTGTATTATTCTGCTAAAACTAATCACTGAATGAAATAGCTGCAGATGCTGCCACGGCCAAATGACACAACTGTACACAAGGTGTACAGCATACAAAAACTAAAAGAACTTTTCTAATAGCTGCTGACTGACTGATTTTAAGCAGAAGGGATCCAATTTCTGCCAAGTTGTGCGTGGAGAGGAAAAAAAGAATCAGCAGTTTTCTTCACTCTCAGCTTAGCCCTTACCTTCTTTTGAGAAGAAATGCATTTCCTTCTTAGCCTCAAAGCAGCAACAAGGACATGAATAATGAATATAGTAGAACTTATATTAAGATTCCATTTCAGCATAACATAACTTGAAGTGAGCTTCCAAACAGGGGTTGCAGGGAAGGAAACAGTGACAGCACAGTGTTACCCGATGTGAAATACTGTCTCTTTCCAATTCATGTTCTAAACTAGGTATTGACTTTTGCACAGTTAAAATACTGAGCTCTTACTTTATGGAAAAAGTAAATCAGACCATGTAATGAAAGCCTGCAGCTGTACATCAATAATTAAAGGGCATCATATCCACTGGAACACTTGAGAATCTGAAAGAATTCTGGATCTCTGACTTACAAAATAAGCTGTTTTCCAACCAGTAAGAAGATGAGTTCGTACGGTTCAATTGCAGCTTCCTTTAAAATGCCCTCCTTAGTATACACTGACTTATGAAGTTCAAAATAAAAGCTTAGTAAATAAAATAAAAGATTTAAAAAAAAAAGTCTAAGGACCCTGTGTTCCTGTTAGTGCTTCATGCCTGCAGCTACCATGAGAGGTCAGGAAGCAAAGTAGTCACAGGATGAAGGTCTCTTCTCTACAGAAAAATCAGACAAGCAAAGCACATGTGATAACAAGGGAACTTCAGAAGCACATTTCACTTTTAAGAAGGAAAACAGACATACTTTCATGCATTTGCCATGAAATGTCCCTTCATTGCATATCTATAAAGAAAAAAGTAAACAGAAGTCAGTATCTGTTGATATACAAAGTAGTAGCGCATACACATAAATAAATATTTCACCATCGTTACTGAACTTTTTCATCAGCCCTCCAGGGAAATAATCTGTATGAAAATTCAAGGTGCTTATTTCTCTCATCCTTCTGCCTGCAGCCTGCAGCCTTACTGAAAAGAACACCCATGCTGTGAGAGCTCTCTACAACGCTTGGCCTCTTCACACGTTATATGCTATTAACGTCGTCTCTACAGCTTGCAGACAATGCTTTTCTCCATGATTTCACTTCAAGACATAGCCATACAGAATGTCAGTCACAACACGAAAACAAGACGTTACTTAAATACTTCTCATACAGAACTTATATTCTACTATAAAAGCACAGCAAGGCAAAAACTCGTATCGGACACACACCTCCCATCTCACCCCCTCCAAGGTTCATTTCTCAAGCATCAACGCGTTACCAGAGTGCAAGAGTGACACTGACTGAAACAGTCAGCAGCAGGAAGGGAAACAGTCCAGAAGAGATGGACATTGTATGTACCTTCCCACAGTGCAACACAAAGGGCAGACTTTCTCAGTGGGATGGGAACCGTAACTTGAGAAGCTTCACTGCAGACAGTGAAAACTCAGAAATGCAGCCCTAACCATAAATCATTTATATTCACCACTGAGATCAGGTCTAAGCATTAACATCGTTTGACATGAGAAGATTATTGGGAAGCCATTGCCGAGGATGTTATGCTGCTACAGAAAAGCAGAAACAGTCTGAGAGTAGCATCAATGCAAGCATACTAAGTCCTAGAGCTTCCCTGCCTTGTCTAGTGCAACATAAAAACATCGGTCCCTTAAAGTAATTAAGGGTCAGTGTTTGTTAGAACAAAGAGCATATAAACCCTAAGGCTTGGATTTACCAGTCAGTTCAATTTTGAGGTTCCTCTCTTTAGCTTCTCTCATCAGCCACCGCTCACAGCCTCAGAAGTCATTCTCATCATTTCCATAGCGCATCTCAGATAACTCAGTGCCACCTAGAAAGAAGACAGACATTATAAAGACGTTATAAAATTCTTTGCATTGCTCACTGCCACACTATGCAGGCAGGCACACTGCTCCAGCATGGCTCACACATCCTTTCCTCTGTACTTCAAACCAAAACAAGTAGTGAAGGGAAGAAGCAAAGCTGCCACTCTTCATTCTCAGCGTGTTAACTCAGCATAAACGTTTGGGTATGTTTCCCTTTTTTTGGGGGGAAGCACTCTGTCTCTTGCTTTTTTAAAAAGAGACTATGCTTTCTTTTTTTGCAGCAGAATGTGATTAGCTATTGGACATTTTCTGTTCCTCGATACAATAATGGTAAAACCTGTATTTATGATTACCTTCATCTCAGCAACCACTGAGAAATTCACAGTGTTAGGATCATAAGAAAAATAATCACCGTTGAAAGTACAATTAGCAGATTATGTGCACATGGTGACGTATGGGAGAAAAGAGTAAGGGGGAAAAAAAAAAAAAAAAAGCAGCATGAATTGAAATCCAGTTCCTTCTCAGACTTTTGCATTTCTACATCAATCAGGAGAGGGGGAGGGGAGGAGGGGGAAAGAGAGGAGAGCACCGTCTTCGGAATGCAAGTGTAAATTTCTTTCACGAATCTGCAGACACCAACCATGATATCTTACGTGCAGCCTCAGCACAGCCACAGAGCACACACAGCACATCTCAGCGAAGGGAGCACGGAGGACACGCTGCTGCAGCATCAGTGGCACAAGAACCCCGCACAGCCCCCAGCCACCGGCTGCCCATCAGCTCCAACCTCCCCCTGGAGGACGCGTAACGTGGCACGGAATTCGGCCAGGGAAAGGAGAGAGAAATCAGGCTGAGGACAAGAACTGCGAAACAGAACGCCGTTCGGAGGATGCTCGCTCCCCCCTCCCACTCCCAGCTCTCGCCACTCCCACCCTCGAGAGCTCTCCCGCCCCGCCCATGCCCACCGGCCCCGCTCACCCCGCTGCTGCTGATCCTGGCCCTCCGTCACTATGCCGTACGTAAGTGGCACCGACCCAGGGAGGCCCCGGACCCCACGAACGCATGACACGGCCAGGAGGAGCGGACAAACTCGGCACCGCGCCGCCCCCGCGGCCCGCCGCCGACCACGTGACCGCGCGACCGGCACTGCACAGGCCTTATGCCTATTGCCCAGTTCTCTGCCTGCGCTGCTGATTTGTGGCTCTGGGATGAAGAATTAGGTGCAACATGTTTGTGCCCAGCTCTGGAAGCTACAGCTTTTCTTGAGTAACTGCTAAGACCGTGAGTGTACCTGATTTAGTGGAAACAAACAGAGTTGCAACAGGAAGAAAGTTTCCTCTGCATGCTAGGTGAATAAGTGTGAAGAGCACAAGCAATTATTATTCCACTATTTGCACTAAATTTGTTCCATCTGCTTTGATACCCCAACCTTCCAATGAGATTTGCAGTCACTGCAGTTATTGCCACTGGTGGAATATAGATAGCTGCTTTTCCAGAATATTTGCTGCTTCCCATTTTATACAACCGTTGCTCTTCTTTGGATAGCACAGTTGCTGTAAGTGCAGCTTTTGTTCCTACTGGAAGGCAGTTTTTATGTCAGCAGGATGCAGGGGTTAGCTTGGCTGAACAGGAGCAGCCCACAGCAGGCTGAGCTCTGTCAGGCATAGATCAACATGCAAAGCGCCTGGGCCAAACGATGATCCAGGCTGTAGAATGGAGCATATCACCTTGGCTAGCTGTTTAATGATTCAGACGTTCACATCGTCTGCTTCCCCTCAAGCAGGAGGGTCAGGGAATGTCACAGAGAATCAGCTAAGCGTGGCAATACTGCTCTGGCAAGGCAGCCCCTCTGACCACACAAAGGACAAATAGGGACAGCTCTTAGAGCAGACTCCTCGTGCTCACCTGCACTGCTCTACACTGAGAGGCTTCAGAGATCCTAGCAGCTGGCACTGTCAGCTACTTTGGTAGAAATCTAAATGTTTGTCTCCAAAAACAAGCACAGGCTGAAAGCAGGCTGAGAGCAAGACACAGCTAGATTCAGTTCTCCGTGTCCACCTGCACGCTGGGTTGTAGCTGCTGCAGTCGTGTGCAGCGTTTCCTGTTGCTGAATCCTGGGAGTGACCAAACCCAGACCTCTTAAGAAGAAAACTCTCACTACCATCACAATACTGTGCATGCAGATGAAGCTTGATACAAGTATGGCAGTGAAGGTTTCTGACTGACCTGTCTCCACTAGTTAGGAGTTTTATTTACTTGCTTAAATACAGTAAGCTGCTCTCACTTATGAGTATGTCTGTCCTTTGCCATAAACATACCTGTGACAAAATGGTTGTTTTGACATCATCTTCCAGTGGCTAGGATAGCCAAAACTTAGAAAAATAGAGCACCTCCCTCAGATCTGTGATGACTGTGTACTGCTTGCTAATCGTCCCTCTTATCTGTGCTTTTCCTTTACAGGATGCAGTTCTTTATTATGGTCCAAGACCCTGTGGGTGTCTTCTCCTCCCACAAAGCTACTCACCCTGGAGGAGGCACAGGCATGGACACGAGGCCACAGCAGCTCTCCCGTTGTGTCAGACAGCAGAGACATTGAAGTGGAAGAAGGTCCCACACTTTTACAGGAGAAATTGCACACAGTCATTGGCTTTCCATCTGAAAAGTGAAGAGGAGTTTCTATTGCAGCACCTGTCATAATTGTTTGGGTGTTGTTTTTTTTTTCCATTATTGCTAATTAAAAACTTGCTGAAATTAAGTTACCCTAATTGTGCCTGAAGTGTTGTAGCGAATTCCCACTCGCTTTGGACTCTGAGGACTCAACTAACATACATTTCCCCGATGGGCTCAGTTTAGCCACACAACCATGCTGTTCCTTCCCGGTTAGGCAGGCAGACACAAGGTGTATAAAGCCATCTGACATCTGTCTTTGCCTGTACTGCCTGCACTTGGAAACATCAGGGATTTCCAGATTTCAGGACACGTGTCTGAAACAAATTTTGGTTCTCCTCTAAGCAGAGCTGCTGGACAGACCTGTTGGCTCTAGAAATTAAACATAGCAGTGAGATGAGGCCAGTGATGTGTTAATGTAAAGTAAGAGATGGTTTGGAATGCCTTTGATGGCTTTACAGTTCCTCAGGAAGCAGTTACACTTGCCAGCTAAATAAAAGCTGTCCCTTAGATGCAGCGCTGTACAGATGTGGAATGTTTGCTCACCTGCACTGCATCTTGCTTTGCATAGTTTAGAGGAAATTAACCAGCAAGACTTCAGGGCTGAGCTATAAGAATGGAAACATCCTCAGCTGTTTGAAAGAGACCGAGTTTCTAAGGTTTGTGTCAGCCTGGGAAATCCATCCTCTGTGGCCAAATGCAAATTGCAGCACAATCCTAGGAGCCCTCAGAAATGGAAGTCATAGCCCTGGCAGCTTTTGAAACACTGTTTTTCAGCAGCATAGAGTTCATGCTTTCAGTGTGCTTGTACCTCCTTCTAGCGTTCAAGCCTGTGCGTAACATCTTCAGTTCACCCCTGTCTTTCCTAAACAGGTCTCGTGTTAACTCAGGATCTGGAGCTGGCAGAGCACACCCCTCTCGTGTCTTTCTCCTGAGTAGTTTTTGAGAGACAGCACATGGGCACCCCTACAAGAAGTCTCAGAATGTTTCCTTCTGACGCTATTATGGAAGTAAGATTACATTCCTGGCTCCATTTTGCTTTTGTGCCAGAAGGCAGACATTTAAGCTACTCAAGTCACTTTTCCACAAAATGCCCACAGAAAGAAGGCATCCAACATCTTTCTGTAGCTACGGAGACTCTGACTTCTTAACCCTTTCCATGTATATTTTACTGTCTATTTCCAAATTTAAAAACAGCAACTGTGATTTTTTGCAGAAAAACATACCACAAATCCTGAAGTGTGGGCCAGTGAGGAGTTTTATCTATCTTCTCCCTGATGCCTTTAGTCTTCAGTATAACAAACACATTCTGTGACTGTGCTTTAAGACAGACTCCCTTGAGCATTTTAGTTGTGCTTGTTTAGTGCTCATAAAACCAGCTGTGCAGGTGCTGCTTTCCTCCCCATTGTGAGGGGATTGCTGTCAGGAGCCAAGCAGTTATCCCAGGCACATCCAGCAAGGAGCTGCTGTGGCACGATGGGCGTGTGGAGCAGCTGTCTTCCAACCTGTCCTCTGCAGCAGTTAGCATTCTGTAAGCTATTCTTCCCCAGCTTGCAGAACAAGTATCAAAAATTGATACTCTTTTGTGAAAGAGTAAATGGGTCTTTACAAAAAGGCAGCGTGACATTCCTGACTGCAGACAAACAACAGCACAGATGCCTGCCACCTCTGCAGTAAAAGCTGGACTTAATGAAGGAGCTTATCCATCTGTGTTGGGCAGCAGAATCAGGGCAATGCTCTTCAGGTCTTTGTTTTCCTGCTAAGAATTTTGTACAGCTGACTTCACCTGCCTTTCATTCCTTGCCATCTCTCTCTTTTTCTTCTAAGGTGAAAAAGGCAGCCTTGGAAGGAAAATGATTTCTGAGAAAGAACCATAGCACGCATAAACTAGTTTTGCTTTTGCAAACAGCTTAGTTTCAGACTAAATTGGACATGATAACAGCTTTAAAAACAGTTTGAGCACAGACTAAATTGGACATGATAGCAGCTTTAAAAAGAGTTTGAGCACACTTAATTAACAGCTATTGCTAACTCCATACGGTGAGCATCTTGCATACTGCTTGAAGCCTGCTTGAAAAACAAACCCGTAATGTACGGTAAACACAACAGGCATGATGTGTCCTGATTAAAAAACAAAAACAAAACAGCAAAAAAAAAGGGCAGGTGCCTGTATCACATGTCTGTGGCTGCAGAGGATCTTCCAAAAGGAGAATAAGGAAGTAGAACCTTATGCTCACACTGCGTACAAATGCTACAGGAGCAGAAACAAACCGGGAAGCTCTGGGTTCCTCCTGGAAGGCAAGACTGCACAGAGAAGCACCAACTGTGTTTGGCAGTGCCCTCCACCCTCAGATTTCCGGCTCCCCTGCTCCTCATCCGATCCCACTGCTGAGCCAGGAACGAGCTGCCCAGTGCTGCAGAGCATTGTGCAAAGCCACACCGGGACCTCCTCCCCTTCCTCTCCTGCAGCTCAGTGTGCAGCCTCACCTCCTCCTCTGGCAGAGCTGCTGATCCCACATGTGGCATCAGGATGCTCCTCTAACCCAGAACTCCTTCCCACCCTGCCAAGAAAAAGCAAACCAACCCTCCACCACCAGCACGGTGTCTCGCTCCAATTTATAGGAGGGAGATGAGGTTCTTTAATATCTGTATACCCGGTGTGAGATTAAGAAACAACGGTTCATATGTTGTTCCATCCAATTTATTACTAAGACCTAATCAGGGAGATGGGGAAGGGAAGGAGTGCGATAGAAAAGATGGAAAAGAAGCAGGAGTTGCGTAAAGCGGGGAGAGTCACCAGCAGGATCCAGCAGCGGTCCCGTTGCAAGGTGTTTGAAGGTCCTGGGCAGAATGCAGCAGAAGACGGGGAGCAGCAGCGTGGCCGGCCTTGGGCAGCAGGCAGGTAGACGAGGAAGTCGAGGAGCCAATTCTTGAAGCAGCAACAGCGGTCAGGCAGCAGGCTCAGGAGAGTTCAACAGTATGCAGGAATCCCCTCAATCTTCAGGAATCCTTCTATCTTCAGGAATTCCTCTCTCTCTTCTTCATGAGGAATCTGTTGCCAGAAACCTCCGTTCTTCTTCATGAGGAATCTGCTGTCAGAAACCCCTGTTCTTCTTCATGAGGAATCTGTTGTCAGAAACCTATCCTCATGGTTTTCAGTTCCTCTTTTATCCTCCTTATTCTCCTGCCTACGTGACAAGGATGGGCCTTGAGCAAGAGTCATTGAGTACCCCCTGAGATGGCCATCATCCGGAGATAGGTCCGCACAAAGGAGCACTTCACAGCTATTTAGCTGCAGTTCATCTCGCTCTCGTTGCCCCTGGCCTTGTCCATCTGCGTTCCCCCAGACAAAGGTTTTCACGGTCCTTGCTCGGGACTTGTCTGGACTTGAACAAGTCCATCTCTGTCCCCAGCAAGCTTTGAGACACAGAAGTTAACAGAATAGTCTCTTACACACGGCCCTGCAGTAGGGAATGCACACAGCTTCACGCTGCTCCCCTTCCCCTTATCCTACCTAAGAGACCAAAGGAGCACTGATTGGTACAAAATACAGTAGTGTCACTTTAAAATGCAAGTTGTGTTTTCATGGTCAGAGGTATTACAGCCCAAAGGTTGTAATAAAGTTCATATAAAGGAGGATAAAATACAGGTGTTCCATACACAAAAGCAAAGAGGAAAGGTTGTGAGGGGGTTTCCCAATGAGAAGTACAATTTCAGAAAGGGACACATACAGAGAACCCAGAGGGATGTCGAGGCAAAGCTAACAATGACTGCTGCAAAACCAATGTTACAGAGAGAGAATTCACTGCCAGGAGTATCTCACAGTCCAGTGATAAAGATTCACAGCACTGGCTGCAAGGTTGTGTTTTAATTAAAAATGCTAATTGAAAACAATCTGGATTTCTGAGCTAATTGTACTTTTAGTAGGGGGGATCACTAAATGGTACTGCAAAAGAGGGGTGCAACAAGGGGCACAGTAATGGGGGCTTGTGTACAAAGGAAGTGATGCAAAGCCTCGTGCAAACCGGAGGTTTTGGGGTAAAAGCAACAAAGAGGGAGAGGGAGACACAAGAAGCGGAAGCAGGAATGGGAACTGGTGAGGGGAGGAGGAGGAAAGCAGTGTGGCTGAAGTGTTCAAGATGTGATGGTGTGTTTGCATGGCAGGTGGAAGGGTGGTGGGCTGTAAATGTGTGTGTGGCACAGGAAGTGGAGCGGAGTGCAGCGGTCAGGTCCTCCCTGGGCAACGTCAGGTGTCAGCAACAGCAGGAGCACTTGGAGCACTGCCTTCAACAAAAACAGTGCCAGGATGGCAGCTTGGTGGTCTGAAGCTGCATAGTTTCTACTCTGGACCGGTAGTCGTGCAGTAGCTCATGGAATGCCACTGGACAAATCAGGCCGTGTGCTCTTTGTCAGTCTCTAATTGCGACTATTTTTTATTGACCACAACCAAATTTGGAGTGCCAAGTAGGGCGGCATTCAGAACACTGCCCTGTAACACCACGCACTGCAGCTGCTGCCTTCTGCTGCTCTTCCTCTCAGTCCTTCAGCTGCAGCTTCTGCATAATCTCCACAAGGCTGTTCATTGCGGATCACTGGAAAGAAAGAAAACAAGTATAGAAATAGGACAGAAACAATCTAGGGAGATCTCATTAAGAAAGTCTGATCAGTAAACCTTCCAGAACGGCCCCATGTGGAACAGCATGTTCCTGACATTCAGGTCGCTGACATTACTTCCCAGAACAGCTGCCTATGGTAAGATTCATGCTCTGCTGGGGGAACGAGGTTTCTAAAGTCACAGTGCCCGACATGGCAAGGCTCTTTATCACAGCAAAACCCTTCTGGAGGAAGGCATCCAAGCTCTCCTGGGCAGCTCTCACTGACAACTGATTTCCTCAAACACACAGCTGGGTGTTTTTCTATTACATTGCTTGCCCTGGGACTCTGCAATAACTTTCATGTCTGACAGACGGAGGCACTGAGCACAGCAAGAGCCGTGTCTTGCGCTCACCAAGGACTCACCTGTGCACGCGCAGCGGCAGCTCTCAGAGAAATCTTCTTCAGCTCCACGCTCCTCTCTTTTTGTCGTTGTCTTCTCAGCCAATCGGAGCAGGAGGCGCTACTGCTGACCAATAAGAGAATGGAGGCGGGCCGGAACTGCTGCTGACCAGTGAGAGGCACGAACTGACCGGAAGTTCCTCTAACCAATGAGAGGCCGGGGGCGGGGCGGAGCGGCGATTGGGGACGGGCAGCCTCGGGATGTTCTCTGTTGCCATAGGGGATGGGATTGGGATCGGGAATATGGGAATGCAATTGAGATGAGGGATTGAGATTGACAGGTGGGTGATGATGGGCTTGGGATGAGGGACTGGGAATGAGATTTGGAATTGGGATTGGGATGTGGGATATAGGATGTGGGATTGGGGTGTGGAATGTGTGATTGGGATGTGGGCTGTGGGGGTATGGATATCGGATGGGATATCAGGAATTGGGATATACATGAGATGGACTTTGGATATGGGATGGACTTGAAATGGATACGGAATCATAGAACCGTGGAATCACTCAGGTTGGAAAAGAGCTTCAAGATCATTAAATCCAACCACAACCCAACCATACAATCGATCTGGTCTGTGCAGGTCCCTCTGCAGCGCCTTTCCCTTCGGCAGGTCAGCTCTCCCTCCCAGCCTTGTGCCAACTGTGAATGCACTGAGGATGCCCTTAATCCCCTCATCAAGATCATTGATAAATGTGTTCAATAGAAGTGGCCCCAGCACTGAGCCCTATGGGGCAGCACTGGTGATCAGCCGCCAGATGGCAAATCCTGCTGTGTGTACAGAGTTGGTTGGGTCCCTGTCTGAAGACAAAACTGGCAGGAGCCAAACAGTGTGGGGGCAGAAGGGCTGTGGTGTGGGAGGTATCTTTATGCCTATCTGCACAGCAGGCCCAGCCGCCCCTGCTTCACCTCTCCATGGGAACTGCCCCTGCTGGAGTCTCTTCTGGCCACAGTGAGCCAGGATGATTCCCCTCCATCTGTCCATGCCTGCTGCCCATCCCCACAGCAATTCATGGGCAGCGCAGGAGAGCTGTGTGAAAAGCCCTCTGCATCCCGCTGCACAAAGGACTGCAGGGAAAGAGGAGGGCTGGGGCTGCTGGTGGCAGCTAAGGGCAGCTAAGCCCCATCCTGCCCCAGAGGGCATGGGGAGCTGGGGGGCTGAGATATGGCACAAATGACTGCAGGCAGAGATGTGGCAAAGGGAACACAAAGCTTTTAATAATGTATCATGGAAAACAATGAGTAACAGCAATGACAATAATCCTAAAATTCCCATCCACAATGGTTGATGGCCCAGATGACGTCTCATCCCACTGCCATGATGACTCCAGAAGATGGCTGGGTTCTGGAGGGGAGGGATGGGGCCACTGGCAGTTCCCCTGGAACACTGCCTTATGCTGCGGGGCTGGCGAAGAGCGCAGGGTTACAGGTAGCCATATTGGTCGGCTATGGTCATGTCTATCTCCCGCTGCACCAGGAACTGCACGGGGCCGATCTTCATCTACTGGGCCGCCCGCTGCCACTGCTGTGGCTTTCCTGCTGAGGAGCTCCTTGTGTTCTTCTGCAAGTGCCCCCCAGCATCACTGCTGCCTCCACTGGTCCGTTAGCCTGCACTTCCTTCCTTCCATCAGCAGCTGCTCCTACTCTGACCTTCATTCACACTGGATGCCGTCCACTTCTAGCACCAGCTGACCTGTGAGACAGAGAAAGGAAATGTGGCATTAGCACAAATGCAGAAGCCTGAGGCTGTGCCATCACCACATACTGCAGCCTTGGGAAGTCAGCTGCAACTGCAACCTTTGTCAGAATTAAAGCAGGCACCATAAATTGTGACTTCTGAACTGACGTAATTGCCACAATCAGAAATAAATACTGAAGTCGCTTACTTAACTGTACGTGGTTACTTCTGAATTCTTTTGCTTTTGGGAAAATGCGTACTTGGAATTGAAAGGTACAAGAAAAATGAGGAGCACTTGGCAACTCAGGCAAACTGAGCAGTGCAGGGAAGATTGTTGCATTTCTTCTTCTCCTGGCCCAGAAATGAATTTTCCTACTTTAAAATGAAAGGAGAAGAGCCTGGCGTAGAGTAGACACATTACAGTCTCACATCACGGGGAGAAACTGGAGAGTTCTTGTGGCACAAAGCACAGGGCTGTAGAAATTAAGGTTGCCTGTAAGCTTTAAAACAAGGTGAACGATAAGGTTAAATGCAGAACATCAGCACTTCCTGCAGAGCAATCACACAGCTGTAGGCACCACCTGAGAGGTAACAGATCAGAAAGGGCAACCTGTCATGGTTTTATGATTTTTGGTCATCACTATTCCACACCATAACATCATGTAATGCACTGGGGGGGGGTTGACTTCTGCCGAATGTTCGTCCAACGAGAACTACATTTCCCCAGGAGGCTTTGCGGTCAGCAAGGAGATATAACTCTGTGCAAGGTCACCTGACCTTCTTCTTCTTTGCCTGCTCTTCGCCGCCTGCTCTTCGCCATCTGCACTTCGCAGTCTGCTTTTCTTCAGTCACTCAACTGGACTGCACTTCTCACCTTAGCATTGTGGTGAGGTCTATCTACCATCCAGACAGACTCTCTCTCTCTCTCTCATTGTATTTTGCTAATACTATATTTAGTAAATCATTTGTTCCACCTCAGATTATTGCTGTTGTTCTCAAGTACTTTGGGGTCCCCTGTTTCCCTTTTCTGGTGGCGCGGATCTGCAGATCCTTCCGCCCTGCTGGTCACGGAACCGGGCCGAACCAGCCCGTAAAGCGTTGACACAACCTTACTTTGTGAACCCAGGGACAAGCTGCTCTCTTTTTCTGGGCCTTTGTTCACAGCGAGGATTTCCCTCAAGAGTGCTGCTCAAGCTGCTGCTGTGTCCAGCTATGGTCACTTCCACCTGGTGGACTCTGTGCCCACAGGTCATTCTGCTTTGGGCAAAGCCTGCTGGGTGAACTCCAAACTAAGGCATTTTCTCCAAGAATACCTGTTTTCGGACCAAAAAGACTACACTTTCACTCAAAAATACCAGGTTTTTTCCCCTACTTATAACATTTTCTCCCAGAAATACCCACTTTTCTTCAAATATATGACATTTTCTCAAAGAAATATCAGTTTTCTCACAAAAAGAAGGCATTTTCTCCAGGAAATCCCTGTTTTCTCCCAAATATCCCTAAAAAGAAACACCGGATTTCTCACAAGTATGAGACATTTTCTCAAAGAAATGCCAGGTTTCTCACAAAAATAAGACATGTTCTCCAAGAAATACCAGTTTTCTCACAAGAATAGCACATGTTCTCCAAGCAGTATCAGTTTTCCTTCAAAAAGACAGCATTTTCTCCAAACAATACCAGTTTTCTCCCGAATATCCCTAAAATGAAATACCAGATTTCTCACAAAAATGAGACATTGTCTCGCAGAAATACCAGGTTTCTCTCAAATACACAACATTTTCTCCAAGAAATATCAATTTTCTCATGAAACAAAGACATTTTCTCTAAGAATACCAGTTTTCAGTCCGAAAAGAAGGTACTTTCTCCAAACAATACCATTTTTTCCCCCAAATAGATGGCATTTTCTCTCAGAAATACTACTTTTCAATCCTAAATATCACATTTTTTCCCAATATTGTGACATTTTCTCCCACAAATACCAGGTTTTTTTGCAAAATATATTATATTTTCTCCCAGAAATACTCATTTTCTCCAAGAAATATGTCATTTTCTTACTGAAATATGTCATTTTCTGCAAGAAATACCTGATTTCTCCCAAATATATGACTTTTCCACCAAAAGATACCAGTTTCACATAAGAAGTATGACAGTTTCTTGCAGAAAAACATGCTTTTCCAAAACATTTGTCATTTTCTTCCAGAAATACAAGCTTTCTCCTAAAAATATGTGAAACTCTCTCCCAGAAATGTTTTTTCTCCCAAATCTGTAACTTTTTCACCCAGTTTTCTCCCAAAGATATGACGTTTTCTCTCAAAAATAACTGTTTTCTCCCAAATATATGGCATTCTCTCCTAGAAATACCTGTTTGATCCCAAATATGTGATATTTTCTCCAAGAAATACCAGAATAGGAGCAGTTATTTGGGGCTGAGATTTGAGGATGGGATATGGATTGGGGGCTGGGATGTGGGGCATTTACAGGTATTGGGGCAGAGATTGGGTCAGGAATGTGAATCTGGGATTTGCGGATTTTATGGGGCTGGGATGTGAGGATAGGATGAATGGTGGGGATGTGGCGCAGGGATGTGGGGCAAAGATTTCAGAATGGGATGTTGGGCTTGGATGTGGGGCAGGGATGTGGGGCACAGATATGGGACTGGGATTTGGGGCTGGGATGTTTTGCAGGGATGTGGGGCTGGGATGTGGGTCAGGAATGTAGGGCAGGGATTTGTTGTTATGAGGCGGGAATGTGGGGAAGGGATTTGGGGCTGGGATGTGGGGCACTTATGGGGCAGGGATTTGGGGCTGGGATGTGGGGCAGAGATGTGAGGCAGCAATCCGAAGCTGGAATGTCCAGCACAGGGCCTGGATGGACCAGTGCACTGCCGGAATACAAGAAATACTGCTCAGAGCTACAGCCATGGAGCAAGGCATGAGAACCAAAGAGACCTCTGGAAGAAGAAAGAACGTCTGATGGCTCTGATTGGATAAGTGCCCACATGAGCGGCTAAGGAGTGTTTGTAGAATGCTCTGCTGGCATGGAAAGGTGGGTGTGAAAGCCAGAGAAAGAAAACTTGTGAAGGAATATAAGTGATGTGAGAACTTGTAATAAATGATTTGGATTGTTCACATCTGAGTCTGTGCATCAGATGCTGCATGCTGTGTTCCCAGCATATGTCACGAAGTTGAAGTCCCCTGTGAGGACAAGGGCTGGCAATCACACAGCTGGCACACAGCTCCTGCCAGCTGCTCACAGAACTCCTCATCTTTCTTCATCCTGGTTTGGCGATCTGCAACAGACACCCACCAGGATGTCTGCCCTGTCAGCCCTTCCCTTGATCTTTTCCCATAGGGATTCCACCTGTCTCGCTCCAATTTATAGGAGGG